GGTTGACATTTTCCCGGAAATTCCCACATCATCGAGGTTCAACTCAATCAGTCAAATTGAATAGTTTTGAATTAATTGACAATGATACAATGGTGGCATTAAAAGTAAACTTGAGCACAAAAGAAGCATTCTCATCAAACCTGCCAAAGAAGATTTTCGATCGGAATTTGTTTTTTTGATCGGAACATTGCAAAATATTAGCATTTTTCCACCATAAATCCGGTCAAATTTGTGTTTAGAATGATCCGGTTGAAGTGAGATTCACAGCACTTCGTAAACAGAATGTTTTTGGAAAATGAAATCAAAGGTAATACTTAAGATATATATACCAAAACTTACTATGTATATAAATATTTTGTTTCCTAAATTGTGTTCAATTAAAACGAAGTCCTGTATCAAGTATTAATGACTCTGCAGATAAATGCAATTAAACTACATAAAGTAGGATGCATAATGACGACAATCCGTATTGTTCAGAAGTTATTATAAGTACAAACAATTATGACTACACCAATAACTTAGGTACTTACATTTAATATTTTTCAAAAAGTGTAGTTAAACTAGCGACTCATTTAATGAGAACAGTTGCAATTTTTAGTACTTTATAGCACAAAAACAGGACAATGTCATACTTTTCCCAATAAACTGGGATTAAGCCTGACTATTTTGCAAACACATAGTAACGGACAACGCCCAGTAAAAAAGTATCGACACAGGTGATTACATAAACAAAATGTTTGGCACAACTAAAAAACGGAATTTTATTAGAAACATTTAATAACAACAGAAAAGCTGCTGATTTTTTACTATTTTAATGGTATTACATGTTCCTCTTCATGTTTGTTTTGTAAAATGATACAAATATGTCAAATGGACAGAACGACCTGTTTATAGAAACTTTGTATAATTGTGCTAGTTTAAATCAACTGAATTTTCGCTTTAATGTTTTTTGTTATCGCGTTAACATTGCGTGCGTTAACGCGTTAAAATATTATTAACTCCGAAACCCAACGCACAATAACTTCAAGCATTAAAGGCTAAGCAGAATGTTCGCGTTGAGCGTTTTTTGTTATCGCGTTAACGCACACAAAAAGATGAAATATACACCTAAGTCTGTTTTTACACGGTAGAAGCCGTTTAAAAAAGGGAACTCCCCTAAATTAGTGCTATTCACATTTGCTTTGACAAGTAAAAATTGTTTGTACGCGCTAAAGGGGAAATCACTTAAATCTTTAAGCTAGTGTTCGCAAACTATCGATACTATTGATGGTTTCAGACTTTTTTCTTTCATAAATACTTTTTTGTGATATGAACATACTTCGCAAAAATTAAATTTGACAAACAAATTTAAGTACATACAATTTTAAATCGTGCTAAATGGAATAAAATCGTGTAAAAAATTTAAAATGTTCAATTTTCAAACCGTGTTATATCAAAACCGTGTACAAAAAGACCGTGTAAAAACAGACTTAGGTGTAGTTAACTCCGAAGCGCAACGCACTATAACTTCAAGCGTGTTATTATTTTCCTGTTATTTTCGATATACATACAAAAATAATTAATTTAAATGACGCAAAGCCCTAAATCCTGGTTTTCTATAGTATGTTAAATACGTTTATACCAAGAATTTTAAAATAAAAAAAAAATATTCAGCTTTAAATATTTAAATGTGATTATCCTCTTTCGAAATGTACGGACAATATGTGTTCAGGGGCACAAATTGCTTAATTCTTAATTTTGTTTAATATTTTGAAATTTTCTGTCTCTATAATCTACAAATATAAGTTGTAACAATCATATCTATATCTTGAGAACAAAGTGCACCAACAAATTAAAATATTTACTATATAGACTTTTATTGGGCAAAAGTCACTATTGAAATATACGTATATCAGTACATAGCATGCATATTAATATGCAATTATATAAATATTTTTCGATCATATAGAAACCCCAGCAAGACTGTACTTGGTCTTGTCATTTTCAAATAATAAAGTTTATATTTGAAACTGTTTCTTAACATTCGCAGTGTTGGCGTGTTATTTGGGATACCATTTGTATTTTGGCATTGCAAAATAGTCACGTGTAATCCCAGTTTCGTGTATGGCATTGTCCACCAAGGGATAAGGCAGGGAAGACTATAGTTTCGGATCTCACCACTGATCCTCATCCTCATGGATTTTATAAATACCAGGCTCGAAGATGGACTTTATAAATACCAAACCCACATATAACAAAGTTTCCACTTTTGATGTTATCAAAATTTTTTTTAGTGTATTATTTTGCCATCAGCAGTACGTACATAACTAAGGAGGAAAAAAAATTGTAATTTTTATACCCTTCACCACACTGTGGTACAGGGTATTATGTCTTTGTGCATATGTTTGTAACAGGCAAAAGGAATCGAAATAGACACATGGTTCCTTTTGAGAATATGCATAGAATCACTTTCTGAGTCGATTTATGCATGTCGTCCTTCCGTTCTTGTATTTTTGTGAACACAGTACAGGTCGCATTTATGATGCGATTTGGATGAAATTTGGTACATGCTACTTATTTGGCCCAAGACGAACACTATTGAAATTGGAGAAAAACGGTTCAGTTTTAGATATAGCTCCCATATGCACCAAACTCCCAATATTGATCCGATTGAGACAAACTTTCGCAGAGGGTTTTGACAAAATAGTTTATAAAAAAATATCCAGGGGAATCACGCATAACAGAGGCATGTTAACAATAAAAACGCAAATACGTGATAAAGTGTGTATAAAATGTAAATAAAATTAGAGATCTGTACTATCATAACAACAGAGAGAACAATATTAAACATTTTTAATCCTATATCTTAAGCTCATGGTACAATTATAAAAGGTAACAGCAAAACCCAGCTGATTTGATTCCAACGTAATACTAGTGTCAATCTGAATATGACAAATTATGTTTTTAAAAATCACCCAACAGGAAAATTGGGAAAGCATAAAGTTTGAAATTGTCTTTATTAAATGTCCTCTGTATTAAATTTACTCAATTTACCTGCTGGGAAAGTTTGAGGAAGCAATTCTTTTTTCATGGAATAACGCGCAATTTCCAGCATTTTCTTACGTGTTACACATATAAGTGATAATGGCTCAATTATAGGAAAGACGTGGAAGCGATAGAAATATAAATTTAATAGATTTTCATTCATGTTTTTCAATTTTATTTTGAGGTTTCGAAAATATTACATTTTCAAAATAAATATAATTTGTTTATTTGTATTGGCGTTTTTATTGTTAACATGCCTCTGTTATACCTGATTCCCCCTGGATATTTATAAACTATTTTGTCAAAATGCATTTTGTAGGGTCTTTACGGTTTCTATGTCTTTGTCTCAATTTTAAACTTTCTAGATTTTCATTAGACTGGTAAATGAATACCAATGCATGTTAAGGTTTGTAACTTTACACATATATAATTGAAGATTGAAAAGAGAAATAAATAATTTGCAAAATTTGATTGTTGTTGTTGTTTTTAGTGATTAAAGAAAAATCCTTATTTTTGATGGTGGGCATGATACCACCTCACTGGAACATCGGAATCCGGAACTTCCAAGGGATTATTGACTTTCCCCAATATTAACAAAATGGCAGACCTTTGATTTTTTTTTTGAAATTCGGCTATTTTGACTAAAACCTATGTTAAAAATAAAGAAAGTTCTTCACCGATTGGCTTTATCCTAGTTCATACGATAGCTATACACTCCCAGAGAAACGTGTCAAAATTTGGAACCGATTTGATTATTAGTCTTTGAGTTATCGTGAATATAACGATTCGGGGTCCTTTGCATGGTATTCGAACGCTTAACTGTGTATGGTCAGCGTTCTGAAACGTTAACCAACAACTAAATTGCAACACTTATTACTGTCTTCGTCCAAATTTTAAGTAAACTATAGATTTCATCGAATCTGGCTAAATATTAACGATTTTATAGGCCTAAAAAGCGAATTTTTCAAGATCCTTTGTATGCCAAATCTTGGTCACATCTATTCAGTTTTTTGTCAGTTGCTTTATGCACATAAGTAGTTATAAATTGCCAATTTTCATTGAATTTGGTTGAAAATTTAAGATGCTATAGTACGTTTACATTGTACCGGATTTCGTTAACCCAGTGGGTTTCAATTGTAATACGGCATTTACATTAGAACTTTTTAACGGGTTAACCTACTTTATGAGGATTTATTTGGCATATATTCTAAGGAATTGAAAATTTAAACACACTCGGTTAACCAAATCCGGTTCAATGTAAACGACCTTTAAATTCCATTGTATACTTGTCATGTAAATTCTCATAGAGTAGATTAACCCCGTAAAAAGTTCTAATGTAAATGCCGTTTTATAGGCCAAATGAGTGAGGTATTCAACATCTTGGTCCGATCTATCCAATTTTTTGTCATTTAATCTATAGGCCACTTGTAGCACTTGTACCAAATATCATCCACAAACGATAACTACATCTATTTTAGGCCGCTCTTTTTTTTTTTTTTTTGTATTGTAAATGACGAAACATTTTGCTGATTTCAGGGAATAAATATCGCAACAACACTAAATCATGATTTTCAATTGCAAATTTTAATTTTATATGGTAAATTCATCTCAATTTATCAAATAGATCCATATAACGCATATGTAAAGCTATGGTCTTAAAGAGAATGCAGCGAACAAGTGCAAAAGCAGGGTCACTAGTTCCATGCATGAGCAGCACTGCATTAAACCTAAACAGCTGTTTTCGCCTCATGGGTAACCAGCAACAAGATGGCCGAAATGTCAGAAATGGCGAGAGAAAAACAAAAAAAACATTCGTAGACACAGAGAACGAAGAAGAATAACACGACAAAAGAAAATATAAGATTAAGATATGCTGCATAGTGTCTTTTTTATTTGATCATGGTAATTAATTAATTTGTTAACTGTTGACTTTAAGCACTGCTATATATAGATATATTAGATATATCGCGTTGGAGATGGACACCGACATAAATGACGGCCGTGAAAGGCGTCAAATGATGAACCATCATCAGGTGCCTTTGCAAAGAAGTCTTCAGCAAGATTCAGTGTTTCTTGAAGAAGATATTGGTGATGATAATGACATGTGTACTCTTAATGGATTGCGGAATCTGGAAATACACGATTCGGAGGACATGCTTGATGACACCTGGACCGGCTTGGCAACAGAAGGTGGGGAATATTAACAAATTTGTCGGTATAAACTCATACATGTACACGTGTGTTTCTCTAGAATCTATGCCGCATGTTGGAGGGAGCAGCTCACGTCTTTTTGAAAACAACAGCAACAAGTTCAGTAGGTATGGACAGATAACAATGCTGTCTGAGGACTTGAGAATATCGAAAATTTTGAGGCGATTAATGGTTGAGACCAATAAAAAGGCTGCGGTAGACCTGTGTAAGAAACTCGATACGGCTGTTCGAAATCAGTCGAATGCCTCATACATTTGTCGCTCGTTCGACATTTTATTTGACAATATGGTAACTGTCCTGCGAAAGTGCCCCACCGAATGTTTGGAGAATGCCAGCGTCATATTGGGCATTATGGGATATATAAATCGCTACGACTTTGTTATCTACAAGAATAACTTAACAAAAACCTATGCGAATAACAAGTGTCTTCGGCAATATCTAATGACAGCTCTCCGAACCACTATAAGGTAAGTACGGATCTCCGTATAAGGAATTCTCGGAATACGATTTCATTTTCTTTGACGTATTTTTCCAGTTGCGATGCCGTAAATTTGGATTTGAAACCATACAGCGAAAGGCTTCTAAGTCTTTTAAAGGAATATTTGGAAAACGCTGAAGTTGCTGAAAACTTCATAGCCATTAGCGAAACAATAAGCGAGCTCTCCAAGCATTATAAGCAATCGTTTGTAAGACACTTCAACGACATTGTCGACATAATTATTGGATGGCATTTGGAAATAGAGCAACCCGCACATCTGAAGCGACATTGCGCCAAAGTTCTGCAGCAACTGGCAGAATACTTTTTGAGCGAAATGGACTTTACATTTGGTTTGTTGGGTCAGTTCATTGAGGATATCGAAGCTTGTGGCGATGAAATACTCGCAGAAAGCGTTACCATGAAATCTAAGCAGCAGACCGAAGCCCGTGTGGGTGCTTTTATAGGAGCGTTTACTTCGATCGTAAAAGCAATGGTGTCCAGAGGGTTTGTCTTTAATAATTTCGTCACTTCAGCCAACCTGTTTCAAGAAGCGAAAAAGGTCGTAAATAAAGTTGCAAAACAATGTTTTCAGACTGTCGCCTTGGTCAGCGAGGATACAATAATCAATTTGAACGAATTCTACTGTGTCATTTCTTCATATGATAAAAGCGTCGAGAACTTATGCGATTTGGAAAGAGTCATTGAACTTCAATTGGCCCACCTATCGGGCTTCAATGAGAATCAGCTGGTCAGTTTTTTATATATGGTCCTGAACATTGTCCGCCAATACCGAACACAATTGCCTTTAAGTTTTGTTTCGCTGATCATGAACAAGGAAAATGAACATTTGCAGGATTTAAAACTAAATTGTCGTTGCAAATCATACAAACTCCTCCTGAAGATCTACCACGAAATATTAAACATTAAAAATGTACCCCTCTTGCAAGAAGCATATCGGCACATTTTAAGAGATGTAAACGAAATTGTGGTACATTTAAAAAGTTCGCGCAATACCACAAAAAATCGAGCATTGAAATGGGAACTATTACTTAGTTTTTATCTGGCTGCTATATCTGTTATGGCCTGTCAGACATCCTCAATTATAGGGATGTATGCTCTGAATCCATCTATTTTGGAGCTACTTATAAATAATTGCCAGGCACCGAATGAGTCGTTGTGGACAAAATACCCAGTATTGCACCATGCATTATTATCCGTTATTGTGGAGCATTCATCGAAAAATTATAACTTTCGCCAGTCGTCGCGACTTTTGGTTCAACATCAAGACTCCCCAACTTCAGAGAACTTCAGCACTATATTAAAATTTTTGGCAACCATAATGCGTTGGTATATATCCGCCGAACTTTTGAACTGGTTTGAACAACTTCTGTTAGAATGCAAGGAAAACCATGGTGTATTGGCGGAGAACACTGATTTTCTAGAAATGTGCGAAAATACCGTAGTGTTTGCCAGAAAGAAGCCTATGTTATGTTTACGGCATTTGCAAACCATTGTAGAATATCCAAAAATGGCAACGTTTGTTTTATCGACTATTGCTGATATAGCATTCAGTCTAGTGGATGGAAACGATAAAGCACTGCAAGGCATTTGTTGTGAATTATTAGCCCGTTTACCACTGGATATTATATTCAGGACGAATGGTAGTAGTGAAAATGACGTATGTTCAATGGATTACAACCGAATAAAGAAATTATTTTATTGGTATAAAGCAACAGGAGCGTACAGTAGTTTGCGGGCTAAATATTTTAAAGTGTTCATTGAATCGTTGCAGCCCACATGGGTACAAAACAATAACGACGGGCTGTACAAAATATTTATGGAAAAAAGTTTCGTGTACTTCCAAAGAGAAAACGTACCGGAATATCTGGAAGCTGTACAGAGAAGCACTCAACTCTTAAATGCTCACTTACAATACGAAGCTGCCCGTTATTGTGTGCAGCAGAAGCTTCGCACAACGTTAGGCAAGCCCCAGGAATCTTTCCTCGCAATAGAAGCCATTGTTATGAGGTATGCTCGATTCCTGGCTGAAAATGAAAGCTTTCCTGACAATACCAAATCGGTTCGTAATATTACGCAAATGCAAAAGAATTGTCGTATGCTCTTGGGTTTTTTGGAAAATCTAGAGAAACACATTTACAATGCAGCTGAGGGCACCGCTTATGCCATGTTTCCTGCGGAGAAACCAGCTAAGACATTCTTCCGAGTAAACGCACCAACTTGTGCGGAGTGGTTTAAAAGAATACGAGCCGCTGTAAATTTAATTGGACTGTATTCAATGGAATCGGAAATGGTCATAAGATATTCAGAGGTAAATTTGAAAGTAACCAACGCTGAAAATGTGTTAAAAAAGATAGACATTAGAAATAATATTAATTTTAAATGGCGTTTATTTGATTTTCCTAACTGACATTAAATTTTTTAGGACATGTGTAGTTTTGCAGAAAAAAACGACTTAATAATGGTTTCCTTCAAACGAATTTTTTTTTACATTTGAACTTTGTCCTTCTTTTAGAGTATTTTGGAAAACGAATCAATATTAGCTAATCGTGCACATTTGGAGCGCACGGTTACTACCATGGTATGGGCTCTATTTAACTGCCGAGAAACAGAAACACTTAATGGCTTGCTTGTTTGGCTGAACTCGAAACACTGCAAAGGATTTGAGTGGATTCAGTATGTTGCCGACCACTCCTCTGAACATTTGGAGAAAGCAGCCGCTGGCTACTTAAGCGTTCTCCACGACACTTGCAACCCTATAGACACATTCACGAAGGAATTTATAGAAAAACAACTATGCGATTGTTTGTACAGTACCGGGAAATGGGCGGACCTATTAAGATTGGCCAAACGTCCTGGATATTCCCAGGTTCATTTACAATACATGGATAAAATCTATGAAAATAATCTGAAGCAAAGTTCCGGGTTTAACAGTGACAATGTTACCCAAGCTATGTGGAACATGACCGAATGGAGTGAAGATTTGAAGCTCAATAAGCCCCCCAAACAGATTGACGCCTGTTCCTTAACTGAAGTAGTTGGCAATTTGCGTGAAGCTTGCACCGCAAGATCGTTTTGTAATGCGGCCGATGACCTATCTTGGTTTGAGCCATTCAAGGATTGCTTAAAACAGGTCTTGTATCTCAGCATACAGAACAATCACGAACCGGGTACTGGATTTAATGTGTTGAATGAAACATTACTTCTTAACCATACGGCCAGCAGAATCGAAGCTATGGACCATATCGTATTTTGCAATACCAACGCCAACCATATTTCCACAGATTTGATTAATAAAATTCTAAATTGGTCTTTAATTGTGGACAAGGAATTGCGGAAAGAATATGTGCCCCTTTTGCTCGATGTTGTACATAAATCAACGCTAGATACCAATTTGGCATACAGTCAGTCGTTACTAGAAAAGTTTTTCCAATTCAAGGGCATCGACAAGCCACTGCCGCAAATTATCCACGAATTGAAATCAAATGAATTAAATGTGAAATTTGGTGACGCCGATGTTATCCATGGTTTGGAGGAGCTAATTAAATGCGTCCACATGCAAACGAACTCAATAGTTGATTCTTTAGAATTGGCATCAGCCTGTTGTGTTCGCATAATTGAGAAAGACTCCTGTATGTCGCCTAATTTGCCCGACAGCATTTCCAACATATTACTGACGATGTGTGATTGGATAGGTTCACATCGTGGACACAGTCACAATATAACGCACGGCAAGCAATTTCAGAGGCTGCAGAAACTTCTTCCAGATGTGGGTTTTTGCTCTGCTGCTGAAAAAAGGTTACCAACGTTTGAATATGCCGTCGGTAAACTTTTGAATGGCAGCATTTTATGTAGGGACAATTACGCGGATGCCTGGTTCTCATTCGGCAATTGGTGTTATCGATGGGGAAAGAAACTAATGGAAACATCCGGCAGCGGTGATCAGCAGGACCTTCATCGAAATCACTCGGTCATACAAAATATTCTAGGGGACCAGATTGACAACGATGTTGTAAAACAAATTGTGCAAATGTTGAACACTCATATAGCCAAAATCATGAGTGATGACAATGTCGAAGATGACGTGTATGTGGATGGAGCAAACAACCCCACTGAAAAACTGGAGAGCGATCTGAAAAAACTGTGCAACATATCATCAGAACAATTAAGTGCGATTATATCGTTATGGCGCCAGGAGCACAAGGGCGTCTACGGGTTCTATCAGGAAGCAACTCGGGCATACTTCAAATATTTAGCAATACAAAGCGATGCAGTATCAAATAAAAAATCCAACTCCATTAGTTCTGAAGTGGAGGATTGCACGTTCGTAACCACCACTTTGCGTTTATTGCGTCTGATAGTAAAGCATGCCCAAGGACTGCAGGTATTGTATCAGCATTAGAAACCACGCTAAGTGTAATTATTTACCGCGATTCTTCTATTACAGGAAGTATTGGAGGAAGGTCTGCGGAATACACCTCTGAGGCCCTGGAAAGTTATTGTTCCGCAGTTGTTTAGTAGACTAAATCATCACGAAAACTATGTGCGGCGCAGTGTGTCCGATTTGTTATGTCGTCTGGCCGTCAATCAACCCCAGTTGATTATATTTCCAGCGGTGGTGGGAGCTCAACAAGAGCTCAAACACTGCAGTGAAAGTACTGTTATGGATAGTCAGAAGCAACTAAGTAATTGTTTTGTGGCACTTCTGCATTCACTTTCAAGTCAGTGCCCGGACACGGTGATACAGGTGCAGATGCTCGTCAAAGAATTGAGACGCATTACGTTGTTGTGGGAAGAATATTGGATTCATGGTTTGGCCCTGCTTTATGCGGAATATTCTCACCTGTACAATTCGCTAGATGCAGAATCGAAGAAAGGTAGCTGTATGGATACGATGTTGCCGAAGTACGATATTTTCCGACAGCACTTGTTGGCAGACTTTAAAAAGCTGGCTTGTGTTACTGAAAAGGAGCCGGAAACTAACTATGAACGCAGTTTCAAGGAACGTTTTAAACCTCATATCGAAACCGTACTTAAGGAATTGGAAACTCCCACTGATCCCACCAAGCCTCATGAATATTGGCAACGAATCAAGCAGTTGTATAACACATTCCAGCAAAAGCCTCTTAGAGGCAGCTCATCCACCATGAGGGTATATGACGTCAGTCCCGTTTTGGCTAATATGCGAAATACAAGCATAGCAATGCCGGGCGTAGACACGTATGAGAAATCAGCAGTGTACATAAAATCCGTCGAAAGTACAGTGTTCGTACTGCCCACGAAAACGAAGCCCAAGAAATTATCGTTTTGTGGCAGCAATGGTCACAATTATACATATTTATTCAAGGGACAAGAGGATCTGCATTTAGACGAACGCATAATGCAGTTCCTCTCGATTTCCAATTCAATGATGATCCGATCGAATTATTCCAAAGGTACGGCAAACTCGGATAGCTTTAGAGCACATCATTATTCAGTAATTCCCTTGGGACCCCAATCGGGTCTTATCAGCTGGGTAGACAATTGTACGCCGCTTTTTGCGATTTACAAAAAATGGCAACAACGAGAAGCTGCTTTGAAGCAACAACAAAAAGAACGTCAATCGTTGAAATCAGCAGAACTGGGTGTACATAGCCCCTGCGTGGGCACCACTCGGCCTTCGGAGTTATTTTATAATAAATTGACACCGCTGTTGGCCGAGCGAAATGTTAAAATTTCTGATCCACGTAAGCAGTGGCCGATGCCGGTACTGAGACAAGTTTTGCGGGAACTAAGCGCAGAAACGCCGAGTGATCTCTTGGCAAAGGAAATTTGGTGTTATTCCTCAAACGCAGTGGATTGGCGCAAATCAGTGCGTCGTTACACCACGTCAGTGGCAGTTATGTCTATTATTGGGTACGTGATTGGCCTTGGCGACCGCCACTTGGATAACATTCTAATAAAACTTGGAACGGGCGAAATTGTTCACATCGACTACAATGTATGTTTCGAAAAAGGCAAGTCCTTAAGGGTTCCCGAGAAAGTGCCATTCCGATTGACCCAAAATCTGAGAGCTGCACTTGGTCTGGTGGGAACTGAGGTAAGCGTTAAAAAAATCTTATTTGTATAATTTGTATGATATGCCTTTATTTCACACAACACTACTATATATGCCGGAAAGTTATTGTTATTAATAGTATATAGTAGCAGAATCGGCTGATGAAGATGGTACTGTATAAATAGTTTGCAATTGAACATCATTACACTGCAGTTTGCCAGTGGTAAACTCGCCTTCGGTAGTTTCCATCGCAGCACTTGATATAGAATAACCGCTTTCCTTTTTATAAACATCCGCTGAGGTCTTCTGGCGGCAATTCGGAGACTTGCAATGTATCAATTGTACAAAGGCTCTCCTGAAGTTTGAATTCTTCCATGAATAGATGATGGGATTTAAGGCTGAGTTAGTCATTGCCAATGTGAACGCTGCTTTATAGAGGAGTGGCGTTGTCTTGTATATGCTGAAGATCTGGGCACACGCAACAATGAAATATGGCAACCAACACATTGAAAAACAACCCATTATAAAAATGACCACCTGTGAGAATAATTAGACTAGATGTTATCATTGGGTGTTGATGAGACTCGCATAACACAAACACACACCTGTACGGATTTCCAATCAGGATGTAGCAAATTTGAGGATCGTTTGCGCCTGATGTTTCGCAATTGATTTGCTTGTTTCGAAGCTTCTTTCATAATGCGCCAGTACATGAGTAGCATCAATATCCAAATAATCGTGAATGATGGAGTTATTATACCAGCCATGTACCAAGGTGGTAGTACTTCGTCAAATTCACATTGGTAAGCTGTTTGCCAGTTATTCCAAAACATCGGTATAGCTGCCACTGTTGCACCAACGGACCAGTTAAATGTTATAATGAAGACTGCCACCTTCCTCGTCATGCACCTTTGAATAGAAAACAAATGTCCATTTTATAGAAACACCACTGGCTTGGAAAAGTCTTTTCTCATTTAAGATTTCCCTCAACGTCGTAGATTAAACAGCCGCAGGAATTTTGAATTTTTATAATGACACTGATTCGTACGTACTCACCTTCTGTAATGAAGTGCATACACGATTGCAATGTAGCGATCCACAGATATCGTTATGAGTGTCAATATCGATACACAGCATGCGAATATAATAAGGAAAAACCGAGTGAGACACAAACCATGTTTGTTCCCCAAGGCAGTGGTCAGATAGAAGGACAAGTGATATGGTAATGTTAGACCGACTATAAAATCCGAAACAGCAAGCGATAGTATAAATAAATTGGAGATCAAGCTACGCAAGCGGCGACAAGTGCGCACGGCAATTATTGTAAAGGCGTTACCGCCAAGTATGACGATAAACAAAACACCATTGGTGAAAGCCCATAGGACAGTGCCCCAACTCAATTCAAAAGCATCATTACTAGTAATTGCCGACCCAGCCGCTGTCGTTGTTTTACTATATGTACTGTTATAGTTATCCATTGCGTATGGCAGTCCGTGGCATCGTCACTTGTGCATTTCCCTAACAGCGAACTGTTCATGGGGTTTCCTCTTATCTACAAAAATGGACATACATATGCCCGCACATAAAACACTTTCGGTAAACCCTGGAATACCTCACACAGCCATGGAACATCAATGATTTGGTATTACACATGTTATTGGTTTGTTGCCGGAGCATGACTGAACGTCATAAATATTCTCAGTGAACATTAATGTGGGTTGTATACCCTTATTTAGAGATATAGCAGCGATTCTTTTAACTTGAAGATAAAATAGGGCTACAGAAAAATATAAGATGTAGACGTGCGATTAGACGGATTTGTGACGTGTAATTCTGTTATTTAATCACGAACGAACTTTTCTAATTTTGAAATATTTTTGTAGTTATTTTCACCACCCACGCCTATATTCTAACAACACTTCATTTCAGATAACTGACCAACTGTGCACCAAAAGTGATAACACTAATAAAAACAAATAATCATACGCATATCAAATATCTATTTTGAGTGAGTGAACGTTAAAGGGGTAGTCGCCACATTTGCAATGATAATAATATCAGGCAAGGATAAAATGTATTTCTTTATCAACATGCAAGTGGAATCGACTTGTTTTCGTTTCTCTGGGTTCTTTGTTGTTTCTATTCTCTAACAGGGTCAAAATTGGTATTTGGATGAATATATTTGAACCTCTATCCACTTTATGGCAGTTATGTAGGACCAAAATATGAATTTTATTTACATAAAACGGACTAATTCAAGACTAGATTAAATGGATCACTTGATATCTAGAATTAATAAAAGTGATACGATTTGCAACGTTTGCATTAAATCGAATATTACATTCGCTTGAAAGAAACATTAGAATCTGTACAGCTTGGTTCCCATTTTCGAACTTGATCTGGGCTTGGTAAAAATTTCACGATGTGCAAATTTTTGATGAAGTTGGATGTTCTTTTCGCTTTCGAGGAGATTTATATATCTGAAAAATATTGAATCTTTGTGCGGGTGGTACTACATTATTCAGGTGTGGTTAAAATATAAGGTTGTGTAAAGTTTGATTGAAATCGGGTATTTTGTTCGCAGAATGTTATAAAATTAATTTTCAACAAAATGTTGACCATTTTATGGGGGGTGGTAACAGAAGATCTGTACCGCTTTCCTCAACTTCGAACTTGTTTTAAGTATGTGAAGTTTGTGATTTACAGCAACAACAAAATATATTGAGGAAAATTATTTGTTTTTGTATTTTGATTTTTTTTTTTTTTTTTTTTGTATTGTATTTATTTTATATATTATTGTGATACAATCATTTTATGTAAAGCCTCAGCGCCAAAATGGCATTATTGAGGCAGTTGGCAACTTTTTTAAAACATTTCAATGTATATTTACAATTAAATAATTGATATTTCAATAGTGATAAACATAATATATATTTCAATTTACAACAAAAGTGTTTCCATCAGACTGCACAAGTAGTTTTTACATGCGGGTTTAAATTGTGAAAATGTTTGTAAAGATTTTATATATCCAGGCAACTCATTAAATTTCTTTGTCCCTGTATAGTCAATTCTTTGTTTTGTTTTCTCTAATCTACATTTTGATATTCTCAAATTGCTACAATTGCGTGTTTGGATATTATTTTGGTTTTGTTCTAATATAATCGTTTGGTGACCAATATTATTGATATTTTTGAAAACATAAATTAATGTTTGGTAGATGTGTAAACCATGTATTGGTAATATATTTGATGAATAGTTTTTAAACAATGAAGTGGTAGAATATGTATGTGGCAGTTTATAAACCATTTTTAATGCTTTATTTTGCATTCTTTGCAAAGATTTCAATGCTATATTAGATTTGTTATAAGCATATATTATTGCCATATAATTCAAATGTGATTGTATTAAGGAATTGAATATCATTAGTTTTGTTGCTTGATTTAATTTACTTTGCATTTTGTACAAAATACCGACTGCAGGTGCTATTTTCTTCTTAAGTTCTTCAATATGCACGTCCCAACATAAATTACTCTGAAGATGTATTCCTAAATACTTTATGGAATTAACTTCACATATACTTTTACCATCCACATATATGCAAAATTTCTCTGCATCTTGTCTTAATGCTTGCGGTCTAAATCTAATAATTTGAGTTTTTTTAGGGTTTAGTAGTAAACGGTTTAATCGCGCAAATTCAACTATTAAAGCTGCATCTCGTTCCATCCTAACTTTCAACTCTATCTCACTTTTATATGGGTATAATAAACATATGTCGTCTGCATACATAATAAGTTTTCCAAAGAGACAAAGGTTTTGTATATCATTCATATAAATGGAAAACAGCAAGGGACCTAGACCACTTCCCTGTGGAACCCCAACATTTATTGAACCCAAATAACTTTTTTCACCATGAATTTCAACATATTGTTTTCTGTTTTTTAAATAGCTTTTAAACAATTCAATTTCCTTTCCTTGAATACCATAATATCTCATTTTATGAAACAGTATATCGTGATCAACTAGATCAAATGCCTTCGTAAGGTCAAAAAATATTGCAGATACACCATTGAAACCCCTATCAAGTCCACTACAAATTGTGTGTGTCAAATTTACAACAGCATCTGATGTTCCACAACCTGTTCGAAAACCAAACTGAAATTTATACATTAAGTGGTTGCTTTCTAAAAATGTTTGCAGCTTATTAAATATAATTTTTTCTATGATTTTGTCGATTACCGATAAAACTGCGACCGGTCTAAATTTTTCCACTGATGTGACACTTTTTTCTTTTGGGATTGGTACAATTTTATGTATTTTTAATGCGTCAGGATAAATTGAAGTCGAATACATCGCATTAAATATATGAACCAAAACCGGTGATAACTCTTGTGAACAATTTTTGACCAATTTTGGTGAAATATTGTCATATCCAGGACTTTTAGAGCTGTCCATTTGAGATATAATGGATAAAATATCTGACCGATTTATGTTATCTATTCTAAATCGAACATTTACCCTAGGCAATGTCTGTAAAGCATTTACTGAATCACATGGTAGTTGCTCAATTTGTGATCTTAGTTCAGATGCAATGTTAAGAAAATAATTATTAAATAGATTCGCTTTTTCTTTATGGTTAGTTATATAATTTCCATGCTCATACTTCAAAACAATATCATTATTAACGGATTTACCAATAGATTCATTAATAAATTTCCAACATTTTTTGGGATTATTCCCAATTCTCTTTAAATTATCTTCATAAAAGTTCTCTCTACAAATCCTACTGGCAACTTTTATAATTCGACTTAAGCGCTTTAGAGTGTTTTCAAGTTTATCATTTTTATTTTTTGACTTTCGCCGTCTTTTTAACAAGTTTTTCTTTAGTAGTATAAGTTTTTGAAGATTTATATTTATCCAAGGGGAAATTTTAAATTGTAATTGTGTACTACTTTTTTCATCAACTGTAGAACCTTTTATAGCAGTTTGAACACACGATATCATCCCTTCCGTCATAATACACGCATCTGAATTAGAATAGCTATTTGGCAATATGTTTTGTAAAATGGTTTTAGCCTTTTGGTAATCACAATACTTTTTTAGAGACTCCAGCTTGTCGTTACCACAGTTTTTAAATTTTAAAGTACATAAAAGTAAGTTATGATCAGAAAGATCGCATTCCACTGAATAAACAGATAAGTATTCAGATATATTACTAAAGATATGATCAATGCATGATCCACTTTCTGGTCGTGTTATCAAACTGTGAACATTGCTACAATCATAATTTTCACACAAGGTTTGCAAGTCTAGAAAACGAGAGTTTTGCAACAAATCAATATTCGAATCTCCAAGTAATATTATTGGATTGTGAGCTTGTGCATTTAAAATATTTTCCAAAATATCAATAAAGTTTGAAATATAACATTTCTGTGAACGATAAAAAGATACCAATTTCATAGGTTTATTTCTTATTTTAAAATTGTGTATGGTAAGAGCTACAATATCTACAAACTGTTCACTTTTACAAACATCTACAGTGAATTCAAAACGATTATTTAGATATATTGTCGTACCTCCATAATTATCATCCCTGCAGCAATGTACACTTTTATACCCTGGAATGGTGTATAATTGAATGATATTTTTTTGAAACCACGTTTCTTGAATTGCTATAATATCAGGCAATTTGTCGAATGATGATAGCAAGCATTTAAACTTATTGAATTTATCAATTGAGGAAACACTTCTGATGTTAATACTTATAATATGAAAAGCATGATCATTTAATTCAGAAGTATATTTTATGAAATTGGAAAAATGTTTAAAATATTGATTTTTATCCATGAAAAAAAATATATATAATAAATTAATTTTTTGTAATCGGAATTCGTAGACTTTATTATTTATGAAGGAGATTCATACGCAGCACCATCACAATCATCACTGGATTCCACATCATCCATTTCTCTGTTGCGTACCATAGACCTTCTATTGTAATGCTTGTTTGTTGTTGCCTCCATTAGAATCTGGTCAATATCCTCTTCGCATTTAATGAAAATACTCCTCGAAATTTCACTTTTTTACAAAATACCTTCCCATCTCTGGCATAAATATACTGGAAGCCAATAGACTTCAACGATTTGGCATAATGTAAAAGATTCAATGTATCTTTACTCAGGTAATCATTTACAAATACATTTTTTGTTTCTTCATTTTCTCTTAGTTTGGCTTTAGATTTCATCAACTGATCTTTATGGCCCCTATCAGCAAACTTCACAACAATGGTTTTGTTTTTGTTTCTCTTCTCCTTGTTTCCATTTCTAATAAAGTAAGCAGTTTCTACAGCATTCTCTTCTAAATTAACACCAATACTCTTCGAAAACGACAACACAGCATCAACAGCATTGACATCGCTCTCCACTTTTAATCCGTGTATGACACAATCTTTTTTTACGCGTTCATCATGAAGTATTTTTAC